AAGAAAGGATTGGTCCCTGAGGGAGCAAATGAAAATGATTAATTTCCCCAGTGGCTTCTTTTAATGAGAACACACCGTCCTTCAGCTCTTACCCATGAACTGGGTTTCCAGGTTATCCCTTACTTGCTTTTATGGCTTGAATTTTGTGTCTCCAAAACATGTGTTGTTCATCTTGAGTTTTATTACACCTGGGGCGCTCAGCCCATTTGGGGATGGGTTTCCTTTGGGACGTCAGTGAGGGAGTACCAATGTAGACTGTATTTGAAATCCAGCTCTTGTGAGATATAAAAGAGTCAACCAAGCAAGAAGCATGCAAGCAGAAATGGAAGGTAAGATGCTAAGCCACATGAAGATACCGCGGAAGCAAGCAACAGAAGCAGAAGCGACAAGGACCTTTTCCCCAAGAACCAGCAGAGAAAGAGAAAGCCATACCAGAGTTGTGCCTGGAATCAGTCTTCTAGCCTCCTGACTCTAAGGAAATACCTTGTTTGTTTGTTTGTTTGTGAAACCCATCCACTTCTGATATCTCTGTGATGGCAGCACTAGATAAACTAGGTACCTGTCTTCCCAAAAGACACAACGGTTGTCGATACCTATCAGATTTTTATGTTCCACCTACACCCAGAGATAGAGAAACAACTTCCTCCCTTAGTCTAGACCCTGCCTTTTATTGGTGAGTTAACAATAACTACATTTAAAAGATGAATGGAAGTCCCTGCAAGGGGGAGGGAGGTGGTGGAGCAGAGTTTGTTGCTAGCAGGAGTGTTTTCCTTCGCTCCTGTCATCCAGAGTTGTGACTGGCTCCATCCCTTCCTTGGAGGTCAAGGGTTCCAGCAGGAACAGATGGCAAACTCACATGGAATAGTGGAGACAGATGTAATAAAGGGAGAACAGGCAAAGCTATAGGTAGAGTGAGAGGACCCCAAAAGTGATGAAGAAGCATCACAGCTAGCCTGAAAGAGCAGACACCACACACACACACACACACACACACACACACACACACACACACACACACACACAAACGACCCCCACCCATACTATGGCTTAGCCCTTGGGCTTCTACTCACAAGCTGGCTGATTTAAACCCAACAGCCCGTCCATGGCAGTAAGACGAGGCCCCTCTGCTCCCATTAAGATTCCATTTCCAAATGTGTTCCAGGGGTCCTGAGACGCCCGTAGGGTCCACGCGCTCAGAACGCTCTTCACCACAGTGCCAACCAGGGCGTCATCCGCCTCCCTTCTCCCTCGCTCGTGGCTGACCGTGCCATTCTCCAGGGGCTGCTAGCTGTGCCATGGCATCCGCGCTCCGACTGCCGGGGAGTGTGTATTTGTGTATGCTTGTGTCTTAGCTCTGTCTCAGTGTTTACAGTAAGTATTGAGAGAGAGAAACAAAACCTCTTTGAGGCCCTTAAGAATTTTCAACATGTGAGAAGGACTCAAGATCAAAACATTTGTCCACTGTTGCGTTACTGGGATTTGGAGAGAGCTGGTGAAGGAGAGGGCTGCCTGACAGAACTTGTGCTGTCACCACAGCAACCTGGCAGGGAGGAGGCTGTTAAACAAATACTCAAATGTCACCTCCCCACCCCACCACCCCCCTCTCTGATTTCCTGCCAGGGCCTCCCATTGACCAAAATCAACTTGAAGTCAGAGGGTAAGGGCACCTATTGTCTAGGGCCACAGACCCTGTTCCACAAGAGCGGGTCCGGGAATCTGTAGGAGCCAATGGGAAAGGTTTGTTCATTTGAAGAATGGAAAGATCTTTTTAACCAAGGAAACAGAGGAGCATTAGGTACCCAGCATGCATCTTAAACTGTAATCCAGAGAGAAAACCATCAAACAGCTCTTGAGAGTTTTGTTCCAAATACTTAAGGACAAGGAAATGGGAGAGGATTCAAATTCCAACACTATAGCTCAGTGACTCTAAGAGTCTGTTTTCTGATATCCATCACTGAATCATAATACTGCGCTCAGAGTGCAGACGGGACAACTAACCAATGCGCAATGCCCAGTAGGGAGTCTTTCCCCATCTGTCTTTGTCATAGTGTAGTGGCTTGTCTATTGTTCTGAATCACAACACAACATTGAACAAGTCACTTGCTTTGGGAACATCAGGAAGAGGGATTGATCCCAGAGGAGGACACCATATTTGGGGAAGGAGAGGGCCAGAGAAGACAAGGGAGAGCCTCAATGTGATGGGTTGATACGGGCGTCTCCTGGTGAACATGAGCACGTGATCCTGAGGATGATGCGGTTGGGCAACATTTTGTTGTGCTGTCAGCCACGTCTCCGTGACTTGGTATTGACTCAGTGGAAGCTATTTAGTCATCTCCTGTAGATCCTTAGCTACTCTCTGTTTTTATTCACCTTTTTGTGCAAACTCCTGGAAAGAGACTGCAGTAATGCCAAGATCCTGTGTGGATTCCACTGTAGAATACAACACTGGGACTCTCAGTAACGCCAAGATCCTGTGTGGATTCCACTGTAGCATACAACACTGGGACTCTCAGTAACGCCAGGATCCTGTGTGGATTCCACTGTAGCATACAACACTGGGACTCTCAGGACCCTCGTATTTTTCTTGGGGTTATTGCCAGGTTAACTATTCAGAGCTGTTAGACATTTGAGCCATCAAGAAAATAAGAGCAAAACATAAATAAATAAACAAACAAACAAATAAATAAATAAAGAGAGAATATGAGCACCTGTTGTGTAAGTGCTCATTGTATCCTTATGAGGAGAAATCTTTTCAAAAGCATTTTGGAATTCCAAGACTTTGGGAATCCCAAGATTCCATTGAAGTGAAAAAGATACTGAATTTGTTGATGTTTCCAAATGCCCTTACCCTTCTGTCATCTTTCCCCAAGGTTCTTGGCATTTGATCCTGGTCGAGAAGATGAGACAATTGTTAAGACAGAGCAGACTGGTGTGCTGATTTCTCCACTGGAGTTTTCCTTCCCTCCCTCTGAAAGCATCCATTTGTAGAATCCTGACACAAAGCTGCAGTAACTATAGCCCTCTGATTCTTCCAAGGGATGTTTGGTGTTAACACATGTTTGAAACCTGCTGGGAACCTAAGCCCTGCTTAATAGAAATAAAGGTGTGATTAAGGAGAGAATCTGGTAACTGTAAGTCATTTTGCAAAGTTATAATCCAGTTGTAAATCTCTGAGTATTAGGGGCTTCCTTTTTTCACCCCCAAAGATTTCTCTTCATTGCCTGTGCCCCAAGTAAAATTTTTTTTCAACTTTAATTAGTACTATGTGCATTTGTAGTTCCAACCCCTTCGTTTATTTTTCTCTCTTTCCCCCAGCAGCATTGATCTCAATCGTGTGTTCTCTTTCCACGTGCATGCATTTGAACACCCACACAGTGGTACTAATAAAACAATTTAAATTAGAAACACTTTAGTGAAAAAGAAAAGCCCCTAAAACAAGCTCCAGGCCAAACTTTAGATTTTTGTTGATGGCATGCAGTTAGTTATTCAAGGAAAGATCAGATAAATGGTAACTGGGCAGGCAATTTACCATTTAAATTGATGGATTAGATATGAGACCACTGGACCATTGTGGAAATGCAAATAGTTTTAAATTCCAACCATACAGAGAAAATGAGATTGATTAGGAAGCCGGTGATTCCTCCCATTACTCAAATGGGTAAATAGACGAAATACACAGGAAGATGAATCGGCTGTTAAGTGTCTGGAAGGAGATTGTTGCAGAAACTGCCACTTTCTCGTCACAGAAGATATTGAACAAATACCATAGGTCTCTCGTATTCTGACAAAGTTAGTTGAGCACGGGCGTTAGCTCTCTTCTTCTATCTTATCTCTTTTGGCTATCCACGGTGAGGGTGACAAAGTAGCTGGAGTACAAGAGAGAAGAGGAGAATCCAGAACTGTCTGTGGTTATAACTGCTATTTCAGTAGAGACCCCTTTCTCTTGTAGACATACACACACACACACACACACACACACACACACACACACACACACACGGGTGCGCGTACCTCTAATGCAACCCAGAAGTTAATCATCAGGATCTCACACCCCTTCCTCACTTCTGCCTGGTTCTCTTGGGGTCTCTGTGGGTCACGGAGATGCAAACCCTGATTGCGTTCTCCTGCTAAGTTTCCTCATGGGACCATGCACCAGGCGCAGTGAAAAGAGCAAGAGCTCAGGGTCGATGGGTGCATTCGAGTCCCTTCTCCACCAAATGAATAGCCTTAGACAACCCGAGTCCCCATTTTTATATCAATAAAATAGTTTAGATATTGTTTCAAACAAGTATTATGTGTCCTATTCTAAATGCCAGAGATTCAGTAGTGACCAGAAAGTATACCTCCTCCTGTCCAAATAATAATAGTGGTATTAAATTGGAAATGGTGTATTTTAAGTGTCTAGACTGGAGGAAGAGGAGATTGGCTACACCTGTTAAAGGTCATGGGGGCAGTTCTCGTCTGTCCTGTGGGGCTGCCATGAGTTGGACTTGACTCAGTGGCAATGGTGTTTTTGTACTGTATTGTTTTGAAACAGTTTCGAAGCATAAAGATGATGCAACCAAACAACAAAAGGAATTCAAAGATGCCGTGAGTCGTGAATCTGCTCTCCCTACAAATGCCCATGCACGGAAGGCTTCTTGGTGCTTCCTTGCAGATAGATGCCTTTCCTTGTTGGAAGGATTGTACTAGACCGCCTTTGGCGTTTCCATGAGGTCCTAATGCAACATGAGTGTATTACTGATCCTTCTCAATCCCAAAGGATTAGGAATGCCCTTAGAGGGAAGGATGACAAGGGGGTTAGGGGCTTTGTGTGAAAGGGGACAAATGTCAGGTTGAGGCACTGACACTTGTAGGCGATAGGTCCTCAAAAACGGGCCCTTTTTATTTTAGATAGAGAGACATGATCAGAACTTAGTAAAGGGTTTTTGTTTTGTTTTAGGAAGAGATTGGCGCATAGATTGTAGGGAAGAAGGATAGAGAATTGAAGAAATTGTGTCAGTCTTGAGAAAATGTGTGGCGATCATGAAGCTGGCTTTCCCGGGGGAAGGCTTATCCATTGGACTCCAGATGTGCTGACCCCTGTGATTTCCCCAAATGTGGGAAACTCGACTGCATAATTTGTGGTAGTGGGGGACTGTGTTCACGCTCTCCCCTGATTTTAAAAAAAAGAGAGAGAATGTGTGACCTACAAATATTTTGGTCCCTCAAATATTAGGCACGTTTCTAGATATATTTGACCTGCTGATTCCAAACTATGGCACCATTTTTCACTTATTGGCTCTCGTTTTTGAGATACAAAACATATTCCATACACCACTCTTCAGGCTCCTTGCCCATAAAAAATCCAGAGACTTTAACGTCGTGTTCTCTATTCCGCGATAGAGGAAGTACACGGTTGCTTTATTTAAAGTAGTTTGTGTTACACTAAGCATTTAGGTCAAGTTATGCTTCACATGATGTCCTTTGATCCAAAGATATATTGGAACAGGGTAAATTATATGAACTTGGAATTTCTCCCCAAGTATCACTTCACCTTTATTAGGAATAGGAACTCAATAGCAGTGAGTTCCAATTTGTTATCTTAAAAGGGGCCAGAAATAAGCATTACTGTATGATAATTAAGAGCCCTGATGGCTGAGTGGGTTATGTGTTTGACTGTGAACCGCCAGGTCAGTTACTCACGCCCACCAGCTGCTGTGCAAGAGAAAGACGAGACTTTGTTCTCCCGTAAATATTCACAGCCTCCGAAACCCCCAGGAGAAGTTCTGCTCTGTCCGAGGGGGTCGCTGTGAGTCATCATTGACAGGCTGGCTGTGAGTTTGGCGCAATAAATAGAGCTTGAAATGTTCTGAAACCCCAAAATAGGTCTGTCCGAATGCAACTTCCTTTATTAAAATTAAAATGTTCCAGTCTGGTTATAAGATGGCACAACTTCACCCCCTGTGCACAGAACTCTTAAAAGAGAAGCTAAAAATGTTGTTATAAAGAAGCGTGGAATCACCTCTGAAACATTTAAAATGAATTCTCCATTACCTTCTATATATTACAAGGTGTTCTGGAATGCTTACTGCCTAATTTGAAGAAGAAAAATTTCGATCTTCAAAACATTTAGGAAAATTGCTATAAAAGTCTTACATTTCCAACACTTTAAAGTGCCTCCATGCCTTCCATATATGTGCCTTTTCAATCTGCCTTTACTTTCTATCCTTCTAAAGCTTTGTTCTGGCTTTGCAGGATCCAACTGTCGTCTCTTTGTGTATTGCCACAGCCTCCTCCGATACCACAGCGGAGAACGCACAACCATCTGATACAGTGCTTCTCAACCCTCCTATGCCGCAACCCTTGAATACAGTTCCTCACGTTGTGGTGACCCCCAGCCATAAAATGATTATCATTCTTGCTTCATAACTGTAATTTTGCTACTGTTATGAATCATAATGCAAACATCTGATATACAGGATGTATTAGGTGACCCCTGTGAAAGGGCTGTTCAACCCCCAAAGGGGTTGCGACCCATAGGTTGAGAACCACTGATCTAATCAATCCTAACTCATAGTGACCCTAAAGGACAGAGAAGAACTGCCCCTTTGGGTTTCCAAACTTTAAAATCTTTTCAAGGCTGCAGAGTGACTGGTGAGTTTGAACCACTGACCTTGAGATTGACAGCTCCATGCATAACCAACTAGTCAACATCAGTCCATCTACAGCTTGCCTTAGTACCTAATTTTTTTTTAAATTAGGTCTCACCTTTTTTGTCCAGTCATATAATTTGTGGATCTGATTTCTTTTCCTATTTAAAATTAGGGCGATAAATGAATACATGCTATAACACTATCTGAAACTATAGCGAGCACCATGTCTAAGAAACTCGAGCTGATACCATCTCTCCAATGCAGTTTTCTGAATCAGTGCCCCAAATACCCAGGGACAGGCCTAAAAACCAAGACACCAAGAACATTGTGTTGTTGCACTCTGTCCTAAAAGCCTAAATAGAGGCAATGGGAGTAAGGATGGAAATAATGCCAGTGTTGGTAGTAGGGGCACGAGGGCTTGGTGGCAGACGGAATGCAAGGGATGGATACGACCCGTCTGGAGGTGGGATCAGTGACACCAATAATTCTGGGAAGGTGGGAAGGAGACTGGGATGCTGGGCACACACTTCACATGCCTTCAAGACGCTCTGCGGAGAGTCATGCAGCCCCGGCAAGCATATCTGCATGGGACCTGAAGGGAGGAGTGGAGTCTGGTCTTAGCGCACTACCTGGTGGGAGTGAATTCTCTGCCCGGTGTCGGACTTCTTTGACAAGTCTTCTTTCTGTTATCCCACCCCGTATTCTCGGCTCCTGGTTCAATAAGTGGACGGATCAATGGGCGATGGATGAGTAGACAGGAAGAAAGGGAGAAACTAGAAAGGAAGGAAGAAACCAGAAGGTGGCCAGGAGGAGGGATTCGATGATTAGGCAGGAAATTGTGACCAACTGCTCTTCCACCTAGTCGTTCAGAGGCCATGTGTCTAAACCAGGAATCAACTTCTCGGATTAGTGTACTACTTAGAACAAAGGAAGTGAAGGGGGAAAAAACAAACATTTTAAAAAGACCAACCGTGTTCTAGTTAAAAGAAAATCCTTACATGTGAACCATTTTAAATCTCCTTTCCCATCCTGCTATTTCCACTCAGCCACTGCTGAAGATGCCTCTCTTGCTGGAGGACTATTTTGACATTTCACCTTCCCTCCATAGCGGAAGTTGGCTGATAAAAGGGCTGCTCTCTCTTGTCGCATAGGCTCCTTCACAGGCTCCTCTCACCTTCTGACCTGATGCTAGTACATGTTCTGTTTGTTTGTAAATAGACTGCAGCACATGCCTTCCTTTGCTCTTCCCCTTGAGCAAATCGTCTTCTTTTCTTCTAACGGCACAAAGAAGCCTTTCGCTAATTCCGATTAGTCTCTGCCTGTTCACTGGCCCTCTTGGAACTGAGGACATGAATGACTGGTGACTACCAGGAACCCGAGTGAGGTCGTGCGAACATGTTCAGAACCTTTTCGATGGAACAATGAGGCTTAAACTTCAAACTCTGTTCAACATACTAGCTGGGCAGATCGGTTGCGGTCGTTACTAGACGTGAGGCTTTCCTGTGTGGTACAAATGGTTAACGTTCTTAGAGGCTGAAGGATGGAGGATTGATTTCACCTTGAGAAGCCTCTGGAGATAGGCTTGGTGATCTGCTTCCAAAACCCAGCCACTGAAGAGCATAAGTCAGCCTCGACTGGAAGACAACTGATAGGTGACCGTGCTAGACACTTCTTAGAAAGAACCCAGTGGGAGCGCACGGTTCAGTTTGCACACGATGGCACAACCAACACCTGTTGGTCCAGTGCTGTTTGAGTAGAACTCCCCCACTCTCCAGTCACCCTGGGTGACTGAGAAAGATGCACCCTAGGCAGACCTCACCTCAATGTGTTATTAGGGTCCTCTGAATTAATATCACAAAGAATCCCATTTTTGGATGAGGCTGCAAAAATTCCACAAAGTCAAATCACTTGCCTCAACGATGGCAGCTTGTGGGACCCTGAATGCCAGTCTAGCAATGGGAAGTTCCTACACATGCTTTCCAAAGTACCCTGAATATTTCCATGTGGGTTCAAAAGAGGGAGACGAGGCTTCTGATTTCCAAATGAAGTCCTTCCTTCAAGTGACCATGACCCTGTCATTCCCATTCTGACAATGGAATGGCCCTGCAGAGAAGTATTCCCCCCACTGGTACTGATGTTCTCTTGACAGGATTTTTGTCAGGAGTAGCCCTTAGTAATATTGGCAATAGTAGTACAGGTAAAAATTTGGATTTTCCTGTTCAAACACCTCTGTGTGTCTCTATCCACTATCTCCACACCCATGCAACCACACACTGCCCTATCGCCTCTTCCAGTAAACCGAAGGGGCTGCAAGAGCTGTGTCATCCATAAACCTGAGTTCAGCTTTCAGAATTGCTACTATTAGCTTTAGGACCTCCCCGAAGTAATAGGGCCTCCCTGTGCCTCCGTTTCTTACTGTGTACCAGGAACAATGCTATTTACCTCCAAGAGTAGTTGTACGGATTGCACTTAAAGATATACAAAGCACTAGTGCAGGGCCTACACATAGCAGATTCAGAGTCGACACATAGCAGGTACTCAACATACACTATTCTCCTCCCCGGCTCAGCCGTGAGCTGATAATCCATCTCAATTTAAAGGAATAGAAGTCTCATCCGATGGTCTTTTCTAATATGTGCTTAGATTGAACGATGAGTTGAAAGGTGTGTCAAATATCCCAGGCCAGAAGGACATATGGGCACTTCGAAACAGGACCTTTTTAGTGGATCACACAGAAGATTTTCTGTCTGTGTGGTTGTTACTATTGCTTTCTTATTCCCCGATTAAACCCAGTGACTGCATGGTCACGTTAAGTGGCCCAGCTCACTCGGGCGTTGGTCATGTGTGATAGACCTTGGCAAGTCAAAAGCTGTTTGTCCAGTGAGCAATTAGAAGAGCTTTGGAGTGAGACGAGCAACCGTGGAGTGCTACGGAAGCCAGGTGTGTTCTGAAACTAGAGGGGGGTGCAGAGTGGGTGATGCAATGACTCACCCCTCCTGAGTGCTCACCTGCTGCTCCCCCGTGTGCCAGGCACTTTACGTGGATAAACTTATTAAGCTTGACAGCAACTCCCTCTGGGAGATAACACTTCCACTGGTTTCCTAGGGCTGCCATCTTTCAAAAATACCACCAAAGGCGTGGCTTTAAAGGTCAGATGTGTATCGTCTCACCGTTATGGAGGCTAGCGATACACATCAAGTCCTATCGACTTTGAAAGAGTTCTTCTAGTTTCTGGTGACAGCTGGTAGTCTAAGGAGCCCTGGCAGTGTAGTGGGTCACTCGACGGGCCACTCTTGTTCTGTGTTCCCTGGTTGGTTCCAACTCATAGTGACCCCACCTAAGCAGAACAAAACACTGCCTGGTCCTGTGCTATTCTCATAATTGTGGTTCTACATGAGCCCATTGTTGCAGCCACTCTGTCAATCCATCTCCCGGAGGATCTGCCCCTTCCACACTGGCCTCATGCTTTACCAAGCATATCCCTGTCTAGGGTCTGTTCAGGCTGGTTCAGTGTACTACTGCT